GTGGTTAAGTGAAGGGGGAGGAGAGGCAGCAAACCCTCCATACTCCTGCAGAGCTGTAAGTTTTAGGAGTTTTCCCTGAATTTTTGCTTGTTTGGAAACAAAAATGGTCGTTTCTCAAACTCGTGCCTAGCAGGGACCGCGCAACAACCCAGCGAAAACGGGCTTCCATCTGGGAAGGACAGCATCTCCCAAGCCCAGTGGAAAAACAAACACTCGGGTGAGCTGCACAGAGGCTCCGGGGGTGAGGCGATTCCCGGCCGCAGCCCAGTTGAGGTTTGAGGCGGTTTTCCCCCAAACCTCGCCCCGCTCCCATGGCTCAGCCTCCCCGCACACGCTTCGCCCTATTCCCAGGCTGGGGGATGGGTGGGAACCGGGCTCTGCCAAGCCCCGCTCCATCCGAAAAGACCTTCTCTCCCGACTACAGCGTCCTTTCCGAGAAGGGAGCCTTCCCCTTCCCACCTCCACGGCCGGGCAGCCGCTTTCCCTTCCCTCTGGAGAAACCCACCACGCCGTGCAAGCCCTTGTGCAGCGCCTGTCCCTTCCCCCAGGCGAGCACGGGCATACAAAGGAAGGCTCGCTCCATTGTCCACCTACAGCACCTACACACCCAGCCTCGGACCCGGCTCCCCGCTCAGCCCCTCACCCCTTTTCCAGCCACAAATATTCCAGTGGTTACATCCCACTAGCATTCGGAGGCGGCGTGCCATTCCCTCCCCCTGCTTTAGTACCTGCAGCCAAAGGGCTGAAGCGTGTTTTAACTGTTTACAGCCGTGAGATCAGCCTCATCCAAACACACAAATCCAGGGCAAAAATCACTTGGGAAAAACGGGGGGAAATGCCTGGCTACAAAGCTCCTGCCCAAACCTCTGATCGTAATTTGCCCAGGCAAAACAACCAAAAAAAGGTAATTAATTCAGCGCCTGCCATTTTTCCCATCCATCTCCAAGCAACAGCACCATGGCAACTTTTTCCCTCCTTTAATACATCTTATAAAAGGAGGAGGACTGGACAAAATAAAACCTAGGAATGTCAGATTTTCACTGTGGAGCACCTAATCCCTCAGCTAGCTACCGCTGGAATTAACCAAATAACCCTAGAGCGAGGTTTTCCCCCCAAAACCTGGCTTTGTAAACAGCACTGGGTCACAGAACCTGGACTTGAGGGACATGACAAACCACCCTGAATATACATCCACCATCCCGCGCCTTCACCAAGCGGCAAATTCTTGGCTCAGGGGGATAATAAAGGCAAAAAAAGGTGAAGCTTGATTAAAACAGGGCAATTTCAGAGCGATGAGGATGCAGAGATGGGGTTTGGCTGCTACAGCAGCTGAGGCCAGGAGGATGGAGGGGGATACGAGACCCCCAGTCCTTCCACAACAAGACGACCAGAAACCAGGGAAGAGGCGCTGGGACCTTCGCTTCTCTCTCTCGGTGTCACCGCATCTATTTTTCCCATGGTGACTCATTATTAAGGAGGCTCCGTCATTTTTCCAGCACAGGAAGATTAAAGGAAGCTTCAAAATCCATTTTTTTCTGCTGCTGGTGGGATTAAAGTGAAGCGCCTGTAGGGGCCATGAGCTGAGCAGAGCTCGTTGCTCTCTTTTTCTTCCTAAAAACCAGCTTCCAGCGTGGGGTGCATCAACTTGAGAGCATTTCCACAGGAAAAAGGTGTTGGTGAGGCGGCGGGGGAGAAGCCTCTTCCTCCTCCTCCTCGCAGGGAAAGACGGAGGGAGGAGGAAAAAAACCCAACCATGCAAACAGCTACTACTTCCTTATGAGCAGGATTAACCTATGCAATTAAAAAAAAAAAAAAAAAACAAGGAAAAAACAACCCAGCACAATATAAAGAGTCCAGAGTGCTTCCCGCGTGCAGGATCCCGTGTTTTCTCCGTGGGTTTGCGTGATATTTTTTTTTTTTCCCCAGAGTCACGTTTTTGCAGCTGCCGGCGCTTCGGTTCCCACAGCTCGCTGCACCTCGGGGGGACACGCAGCATCCTCCACGGCTCCAGGTGGGAGGGAAACGCAGTGAAATGGGCAAAAAAAAAAAAAAAAAAAAAAAAAAGAGGAAAAAAAGGGAAAAAAAAAAAAAAAAAAAAAAAAAGGAATGGAATGGAAAATAAATCGGCCAGGCTCAGCGCTGCCTCCCGACATCCTCGGTATGGGATCCGCTCCGTGACGACCGCCGAGCCCCACTCGCTGCTGCTCCGTCGTTTCGGGTCCATTTTTAGCCATTTTTGTATTTCCCCGCTCCGGCCGCGCCGCCGATCCCGCCATGGCGCGGGTTATTTACAGCGCTGTTTTCCTCCTCCTCTCCACGGGAACCGCCGTCTCCGCGCACTCCTCCCCCCCTTTCCCACGTTTTTCCCCCCGTTTTTCCCCACACCGCGGGTCGGGCCGGACGGGCCCCGCTCGCCACTCACCGCTTGAAGTGCTCGATGATCTTCTCCTCGCGCACGTTCTCCGGCAGGTTGCCCACCCAGAGGTGCCTGGTTTCCCGGACCATGCTGCGCGGCGCGGGGCGAGCCCGCCGCCCGTGCCCCGGCTCCCGGCCGCCGCCTGCCCCCGCGCCGCGCCGCCGGCCGCCGCTCGCTGCCCGCCGCCGCCTCCGCCTCGCCCTCCGCCCCTTCCGCCGCGGGGCCCGGCCGCCCTCAGCGCCACCGGCCGCCGGACCGCACCATCCCCGCCGGGGGGGCCCCCTGCCCGCCGGGCCGGCTGCCGGGCGCCGGGCTCGCTCTCCGCCGCGGCTGCGCTCCCTCGCCGGCTCCCCACGCCGCGCCGCCCGCTCGCTCGCTCCCGCTGCCTCCTCCTGCTCCTCCTCCGGCAGCGGCAGCGCGGCGCCCCCGCCGCCGCCTCCTCCTCCTTCCCCCCCCCGCGCTCCCGCTGCTCCGCCGGCCCGGCCGCGCTCGCTCGCTCGCTTCGCCCCCCCTCCCCTTCCCTTTTCCCTTCCCTTGCCCGCGCCTCGCGCAGCGCCACACGGGGGCCCCCGCGCAGGCGCACTGCGCCCCGGGGCGCGCGCCGCGGGGCTGGCGGGGGGGCGGGGCGAGAGCGCGCAACGCCCCGCGCGGGGGGGGGCGCGAGCGGGAGTGCGCGTGCGCGGAA